TAGTAAACAACACCCTTTTGGTCCCACCAGAGCATGATCTTCGAACCATGAATGTTCAGCTTTGGTGTTGATGTTGAGGTCGATGGCAACGATTGACCAGGCTTAGCATAGTATTTTTTCTTCTTGGGATTATCGTAGAATATCCACTTTTCATCTCCAGTCACAATCCGATGCAAAAAACTTTTTGTTGTTTGAATCAGCTGTTCGCAAGTGAAAATCGCCTTTCAATGTCTCTCTGTTTCAGTTCATAAGGCACCCAATTTCCTTGTTTTTGAATTATTGGCTTTCAATCGTGCAGAAACGGCTTTTTTAGTTACTCCCAATGATTCTGCAAGTTCTTCTTGCGTTTAACTCTGATCTTCTTCGAGTAATGCCTCTAATTCTTTGTCTTCGAATTTTTTTGACTGTCCAGAACGAGGCTTGTCTTCAACGCTGAAATCTCCTTCCTTGAAACGTCGAAACCATTCCCTACATGATTTATCAGTTGGAGCAGTGTCACCATAAACTTCGACAAGCATTCGATGGGCTTCAGCTACTTTTCTTCCAATTAAAGCAGAAAATTAGAACCTCCCGCAAATGCTGCTTGGTTAACACAAAATTCGACATTTCAAACATAGTAAAAATCAAGGTTTTTGTATGAAACTCAAAGCGATATAAACTGAATATTATTAACAGATGTGTAATCTCTCTGAAAACATCAAAATCAGCTGTCACTATGAACCATTCACAACAGCCGGAACTATCTTTTGGAAAACGGACTGAACTAATTTGTACTCCCAATAATACATTTCAAATAAATTAATATCGAATAGGCAATTATTATTTTGAGTAATAATTTATTAATTGTCAATTGTCAGTGTAATAAAGTGGTGATAAAATATTAGAATTAGTCGTGTTAATACATTCTTGTGTTATGCTAAAAGAAATCTTCATTTTCTTCGAAAATCACGAATCATTTCGATCTGATCAGATAGGCTATCATGGTCAAATTGGTCCAGGGATCGTTGCAAGTAAATCATAAAAATATAAAAATATAAAAGTAGTTGCATTTGCTCTTTTTACTGGGGATATAAAGTTTGAGATTTTCATTTAAAAAGACCTTTTAATACTATTTATTAGGTGCGCAACTAAGTTCTCGCTGTTATTTTGATGCATTTTCATCAAAATAACAGCGAGAACTTAGTTGCGCACCTAATATAAAATTTTATTGGAATATTTCTTTAGTTCGGAGAATCGCTGCGCGCGTAATTGAATCAAATGCTTACTGAAATTAGCACCATTTCGAGTGCAATCTACTAATGCTGAGTTCAGAATTACTATCTGAGATTCAGAATCATCCACCCAGATGTAATTTTATCCTTAATATTCAGTTCAATAAAATAAAATTTATATTATTTTCCTATATAATACGTTTTTCAAATTATTACACGATTATTTAAAAAATCGATTTCTTTGAAACTATGGGCCAATGGCTAAAACCATCGGATACATATCGTTTTTTTTTTGTTCAAGAACTGCCTGTAAAAAGCGCATCCCCGTTATCGCCACCTGGTGTTCCCCTTGTTAGTTCGCTGGATACTAATATTCTATTAAAAAATATGCTATTAAAAAAGAAGATAGAATAAAAATTTTGAAATGATCAAAGTTTTATTTTTCTTTAAAATAATATTATTTATTTATCGGGTACTGTTATACATAAGAAAAGAATCTTCTATCCATATTTTCAAACTGCTATATTTCGGAAACAAAAAGATCATATCAAAATGAATCGAAATATATTTTAAAGCCAAAAGTTCATACTTTTTTTTATGTAACATTAATAAAATTAAACAAAAAACTAATTGTCGGTGCTGCAACGTTTTGAAAACTAACTTGAAATCGTTTTGCGTTTTTAACCATTTTTCTTAAAATTATGACGTGGCCAACTTTTGCCGACATTCAGCACGCAAAACTACGTCAAAAATGATTATACACCCTCATATTGCAAAATGAGATTGCATAGTGTAATTATTGGATTCGATAATTAGAAGTTATTATAGACTTTACATTTTAGGGAAAAATAAAACAGTATACGATTAAAACAGTATACGATTAAAACGTAATGATCGTTTAAATAATGCTTAGATTTAGATTTTTCATGATTTTTACAAATTCATACAAATGAAAGTTTCTTTTTTATACAAAAAAGCATAATTAGATACTTTTTGTGTTAGTTATCTAACATCAAAATTTGTTTTTCATTCAAATATATTACAACGTTATAATCACCCTACTATCACAATTACACATAGTGATCCTAAATCTATGTTTAATAGTGAAATTATACCTAAATATAATTGCGTGGATTCAAAATATTCGTATTAAAAAATACCATTTCGTTTATAAAAAGTAAAAAGTAGAAGGCAACCAACTTAATAAGCAATTTATCAAAAGTGCATTAATTTTTTTAACTAATATGTCCCTTATTTAGGGACTCAAACATTTTTTTCTTTTTAGTAAAATGATTTTGAATTTATAATTTGTTTTGTATGAAGTGACCGGATCTCACGAAGTCACATTCGTTCAAGAATATTATTAACTGGAAGAAAAATTCAAGAAAATCTCTCTCGGTTTATGAAACATCATATGAAACTACTTTTTCTTTAGATCGCTGTTCACTAAAATATTTCGTTTATTGTGCCGTTGAAGATGCACGACTAGGACGCTTTATGCGAAATATCATTATTTGGGAACATTGCGTTTGTACGTGTAGGGCGTACTGAAATCTAATTTATGTTATTCAATAAGTAAGATCATTATTCATTTGGAAATACCGCTTTACTTTTGCTATAAATATGCGGTGTGTTTACTACTGTGCTCAAGTGCGGCAAGAACATCCTGCTTTTGTCTAACATACAATCGTCCTTTTTTCCAGGGATTTTGCAACTGAAGCGGCTTAAAATCATCTCTTAAACAACGCTCTCGCGCACCGATTACGGCAACTAGACAAAAGTTTGGTAACTCATCGGCCGTGTAAGTAGGTCCCTTTTGTCCTTTTAGGACTACTGCCATATTCAATTGCTTTACAACAAGATCCACGACTTCCCGCGCCGTAGTCCTTGGTGTTACGTGCAGCTTCAAACTGGTACCAGCTGCTAAACCAGTCTCGTAGGCCGCATAAACCTGTAAAGGTATCATGGTATGTATCTCTTATAAGGAGTATATCACATGATAAGAACAATAACAAAATGCAATAATATAGAATAAGGAATAAGTTTAACTATAAACGCGTAGATAATTAGAGTCCATAAAATTATACGACTGATACTACACGTTATGTCGATGAATAAAATGTTACATAAATGTGTAAGCTTATGTGTAATATATATGTGCATCTAAAATATTTCAATACTTAGTGAATAAAAAGAACACGCTGTGAAAGAACATTCAATCCTTTTCTTATTTTTATTTACAAAAGAATATTTGAAGCCTTTTAAAATTTATTAAACATTTGTTTAAAATTAATATAATATTTTTTTGTAATTCACTCTTTAAGTGGAATACAGCACTTACGACGCATTAAAAAAAATCGCTAAAAATGTAAGCGCTTTTTGAACGCTTTGCTAGTTGTAGACTTTAGTTTTCATCAATAATTACGACTTATCAATGTCGTAATTATCGATGAAAACTAAAGTTATCTTGGAATTTTATATTTTACTCGTTTCGAGACAAGTCACATTTTCACAATTAAACAAATAATAACGAAAAGGCATGCAACATAAATTTTGTCGTCAAAATGTCACTTTCCACGCCTACAAGTTCAGTCATTTATCGTGATGCGGCGCTGTAACACACATACAAACACGAGTCCATGCTCGTGTGCTCGTCAGCGCGCTGAGAATGAATGAGACAGCGAGTTCCTTCTCATTAGTCGCTTATTTCAAGCGACCAAAAATACTTTCTCGGCAATCTCGGCGGCCCTGGGCATCAATAAGAGGCGAGGAGCATTCTAAATAACATATAAATTTTAAAATTGTAGTGGTAGTGTAACCCTCCCATTTTTTTTCCAGAATAGTATAAATCATACTAAAACGCGACAGTTTACGAGATATTTAATTATATACGATTTTTCATGCGCGATTTTTATATACCTCCTTCATAAACTCGAGTAGCACAAATAGTTCAGTAGAAATAGAATTTTACCGGAGAAGAATTATAAACTAGCATTTTCTTCACGAAAATCTTCGAACGGCCATTAGAAAAGAAATATGTCTGTTTGAGATTCGAGTGCGAAAAAAATCGAACAGTTGCAAAAAACACACATGGTTTTCACTTATACAACAAAAAATATTGATTGTATGGAAAAAAGTTCCTTATGAAAAATGTAGGTATTCAAAATACCTACAAAATGAGACGTGGAACATTAAAATCGATCTATTAGTTAATAGAAAAAAAATAAAAACCAAAAATGATTTTTTTTCATTCGCTCTCTGTTCATTATGATTTAAACGCATAGCTTCGAAATGTTCGTAAAATATAGCTTTCATAATGACAAATCTAACACTGAGTGCGCCTGAAATGTTCATTAGTTTTTGCAAAAAGCCAGTTTTTGCAAAAGCCATTAAAAACTTGTAAAACTCGTCTGCGTAAAACTTAATTTCTTCATCTTTGAGCAGTCGCAGCAAATAGGAATGATTTTTTTCCTTTAAGAGTTACACTATTACGTACACTTAACAAAACGATCTTTTGCAATTAAACTATTATAAAACGATTTTGAAAAGTGGGTTTTTTCGTATCTTTTTTTCGTATAAAAAAATGGAATAATTTTATTAATATGCATTAAATAGCCATGTGAAGCATTCAACAGCTAACATTTTTCTACGAATTTAAAAAAAAAGGTTACCCTTCGATTATTAGAAATAATTTTTTTCAAAAAAATCACTGTGGCTCTAATTTTTAAGATTAAGAGTTTCGTTTGGCACCAATTTGTCAAGAAGAATTGAATTAAAAAATTTTCGAATTTTTTGCTATCAAAAAAATTTGTTTAAAATCATTGGAAAGTTGAGGAACGCGAGGGTGGCAGCGCGACAGATGGAGAGGAAGAAATCGGCGCGCGGTCGAGTGGAGAAACTCGTCAGGTGGCTCGCGGCAACTCGCGCGTATCTGATTTCGTGCGTTAAAATTTGCTAAATTTGAATTTTCTCAGCAATAAATTGACGTAGAAACATGATTTTTTTAAAAATCTGGAATAGTTCGACGAAATATAAACAAATAGTTTAACCAAATGTTTCGCAAAGTAATTGTAACCATGAAATTTGTAAGCCTCCTTTTCTTAAATTTTTATTTTTTCGATTTATTACTAAAAAAATCACATTTGAATATGGAGTGCATGTCTCATTAACGAATTTAAGTCATGAGTTATGTCTCTTTATTTAATATGTTGTAAAAAGTGTCCAATTAGACAATTAAATATACGGAATTATCAGTACAAAATTGTTTTGTGAATTTAATTGCAGGTGCAAATATGATATATTATATGTAAACAAATAAGTAATTTGCCAAATGTTAGCATAACTGTTGAAGATATAACATTAATTTTCGCGAATATAAAAATGAATTAGTGCTATACAAAAAATATTAGATGTTGGAATTAATTCGTAGCGTTTTACAAGTGATGGGAAGTACTTTCATTAATGTATTTTTTAATGCTCATGTGAAATAAATAACATTCTTTCATTAAAAAACGCTACGAATTAATTCCAACACCTAATATTTTTTTTTGCAACTATCTTTCTTCAACAGTTACGCTAACATTTGGCAAATTAATTATTTATTTACATATGTCATATTCATTTGCAATTAAATTAACAAAAACAATTTTGTACGGATAATTCTATAGTTTTAATTGTTCAATTGGATACTTTTTTACAGCATATTAAATAAAGAAACATAACTTATGTGAATTAAATTTGGTAATGAAATATACACTCCATATTCAAACGTGACTTTTTATATTTAATAAACTGGAAAAATAAAAATTCAAGAAAAGAACTAAAAATTTCATTTACAATTACTTTGCGAAACATTTGATTAAGCTATTTGTTTATATTTTGTCGAGCTTCCCTAGATTTAAAAAAAATCATGTTTCTACATCAATTTATTGTTGAAAAAAAGTAAATTTAGCAAATTTTAAGGCACGAAATTAGATACGCACAATCAGTCACCGAGCGATCCGATCTTCTCCACTCGACCGAGCACCGGCTTCCCCTACTTCGCCCAGCACGGTGCCACCCTCGAGTTCCTCAACTTTTCAATGATTTTAAATAAATTTTTCCAGTAGCAAAAAATTCGAGAATTTTTTAACAATAAATTCATTTCTTCCTTGATAAATTGGTGCCAGACGGAACTCTCAATCTTAAAAATTAAAGCCACAGTCATTTAAAAAAAAAAAAAGTTGTTATCTCAGCTCCTAATAATCAGATGGTAACCTTTTCTTTTTAAATTCGTAGAAAAATATCAGCTATCGAATGCTTCACACGGTTATTCAATGCATATTAACTTGGAATTAATCCATTTTTTTATATGAAAAAAATGCCTACTTTTCAAAATCGTTTTATAAAGTATAACTACAAAAAATCGTTTTATTACTAAGTATACGTGATAGTGTAACTTTTGAAGAAGAAAAATCACCCCTTTAAATTGCTGTGCGACTGTTCAAAGATGAAGAAATTAAATTTTCCGCAGACAAGTTTTTAATAAACGAATGGCTTTTTGCAAAAACTAATGAACATTTCAGGCTCGTTCAGAGCTAGATTTGTCATTACGAGGGCTACATTTTACAAGAATTTCTAAGTTTTGCGTTGATTTTCTCAATGAAGAGAGTAAAAAAAAATCTTTTTTGATGTTTAAAAATTTTTTTTTTACTTAACGTATAAATCGATTTTAATGTTTCACGTCTCATTTTATAGATATTTTGAATACCTACATTTTTCATACCGAACTTTTTTCCATACAATTAATATCTTTTAATTTATAAGCAAAAAACATGTTTTTTGCAACTATTCGATTTTTTTCGCATATTTTCTTCACAAGTTTCGAGTCTTAAACGTACGCATTTTTTTTCTGATGGCCTTTCGAAAATTTTCGTGAAGAGAAATGCTGGTTTACATTTCTTTAAAATTCTACTTCTACTGAATTACTCGAGTTTATGAAGGAGGTATATAACGCGCATGAAAAATCGTATACAATTAAATATCTTATAAACTGTTGCGTTTTAACATAATTTATACTATTCTAGATTAATGGGAGGGGTACACTACCACTACCATTTATTAAAATTTATATGTTATTTAGAATGCCCCTTATTGATGCCCAGAGCTGCCGAGCGGCCGAGATTGCTGAGAAAGCATTTTTGGTCGCTTGAAATAAGCGACTAGTGTGAGAAGGAGCTTGCTGCCTCGTTCATTCTCGGCGCACCGAAGGCGATCACACATACATGGGCTTGAATGTGTAGCTACTGGTTTCGCCAAGCCGTCGCACAATGGTACTGATCTGAATATAAGCGATCGAAAATGAAAATTTCAATTTTTTTCATTGAAAACTATTAAGTGCGCAACTAAGTTCTCGCTGTTATTTTGATGAAAATGTAACTTTATTGTGAAAAAATGGTTACAAATGAATCATTGAAAGTATTGCTCATCGCTAGCTACTACTTTTCCCATCTCCCATCTTTCTGGCAGAGCTCGTATACCATCACGATAAAACTGTTCATCTTTTGAGGCTATCCACGAATCAAGCCATTTTTGGATGTCTTCATATGAGTCGAACTGCTGGTCAGCCAGACCATGTGCCATCGAACGGAACAAGTGATAATCGGACGGTGCAATATCTGGAGAATATGGCGGGTGGGGTAGGACTTCCCATTTCAGCGTTTGCAGGTAGGTTTTAACGGGTTTGGCAACGTGAGGCCGAGCGTTGTCATGCTGTAGAATCACTTTTTCGTGCCTCTCCGCGTATTGTGGCCGTTTTTCGCGCAGTGCTCGACTCAATCGAATCAATTGAAGTCGATACTGTTCCCCAGTGATGGTTTCGTTCGGTTTCAACAGCTCATAATAAATAACACCGACCTGGTCCCACCAAATACACAGCATAACCTTCGCAGCGTGAATATTCGGCCGAGGCGT